GCGGCATCGGCACTGACACAGGACCATTTTGCACTACAAAATGAAGGAAAAATGAGGTATTACTGTGAACACTGATCGAAATTTCATAAGCACGCGGAGAAAAAGTCACAACATCCACCTTGTCCCCCACTACACATCTCCTCTCCACCGCTATACTGGCCCTAGCATTTGCTGCACCCTTCACCGAAGTACTTCAGTGCATTAACACAGGAGGAAACCACCCTCATAGAGGAAGCTAGTTATTTTTTTCTATCAGCTGAAGGGCTCAGAAATGGATCAGACAAACATGGGAGCCACCCAGAGAGCGAGAGTGCAAACACAGCTGGGCGACCTCAGCATCCTCGGCTGCTGCAAGGTGCCATGACCCTGCAGGCTCGTTACAATTGAAGGTGGTTTTGTCAGTGTAAGGCTGCTGTGACTGTCGCCGGCACAACGAACTGCACCTCCAGCTCCCGGCCATTTTGTCTTGGGGACAAAATGCTTCTTACCTGCCTCAGATGCTGCTGCTAAGGCGGGTAATGGTGGTGGAGGTGGTGGCAATGGCACTGAAGATGCAGCTCCAGCGACTGGTGCGACACATGTGCCAGCCACAGCCTCTGACCCTGCCGGCACCATCCCAGAGGCCAGAGCAACAGGAAGGATAGAGATGTCACCATCACCTTTCTTCTGGATCTTAATTGTTCCTTGCTTCTCCAGTTCATGGATTTTTTTCTCCAGCGTTGACTGTCGCTGGATGGCTTCTTCTTTTTCTTTCACCATTTTTCTCAAGGTGTGAACTTGGGTATTTGCATCTTTGTAGATTTCCTGAGAATGCCACAGAAACAAGGAATTTGCACTTGTACTCACAAAGCAGAATACCACTACCAGAAACAGAACAGCCTGACACAGGACAGTCACGGCACCAGGCACTATCTTACAATGAGCTTTGATGCAAACCATATGTCTTCGTTGGTGAGGAAGAATTCATTTTGTGTTTTCCCCGAGCTAGCAGCAAGGCTGTGCACAGTACTGAGTCCTGGGAGAAACCTCACCTGTGGGCACCAACACCTGGGGGTGCAGAATTTCTCATCATCACTTTTTCATGATGTCTCCCATTTCTTATGCTAGTCTTAAACATAAAGTGTAGGTATGCTACCTCGATTTTGACTTTAACAGAGAGTATCTGATGCCTGGCCGGTTGCTCTACCTATGAGCAGATGTTGGCCCGTAAAGGGAAGCAGGAACAGAGCTCCTGATCTGGAGGGGAGATTGTACCTGCAAGTACCCAGGGCAGACCCTCCGAAGGAACCCTAGAAGCACCACACTTTGGGACGACATTTAGGCTGAAGTTAGTTAATATTATACTAATAATTTTTGTTACTAAGTTTGTACACCAAGAAGTAACAAGACTGGATTGTGCACAGGAAGCAGGCCGCGCTTGACAGCACAGACACAGGACACTTGCTCCTGTCCTGCGCTGTGCAGCCCAAGTCTGAAAGACTCCAGGTCCACCTCCAACGCCCGTCCACAGCCAACCATACGTGCAAAACTCCAAACACAGATGCTACGGACCTGAGTGATAAGATGTACCCGTCTCATTCACTGATTTGCTGGCACGTTCAAAGAGTTTGAGTGCACACACGAGTAATTCTACTTGAAACCTGTGCTAGGTTCAAAATTAGGAAGCTAACAGAAGTCACTTGGGCCATTAAAAGAGTCATTACCTCCCAAAGGCAAAGCACACAGGAGATCGCTACCCTGAAGCGTGGCACCCAGCCAGAGCGTTCCCATCGCCCTTACCCGAATCACATCCAGTTCTTTGTTTCTTTGCATAAGTTGTTTTTCCAGTTCCACAATCTTTGCCATGGCTTCGTTCTCCGTATCTTGGAGTTTTTCAGATAACTATCATTCAAAAGAGAAATAGATTACATAAGTGGATAACTGTAGTTTTCTCAAGCAAAATGTCAGGAACACTTGTTGGAACAGTGGTATGCAGTAAATTATTGATATTCCACCAAACCCTGAAGTCTTTCTTTGGAAAGAGAGAGGGTTCCTGCATGTGATCGGGGGGCACTAAGGGCTCCGATGAAGGTTCCTCTGATGATGAATGTTATCCCTCAGCTATGACCAGCAGGTAACCAGGCTGGACTGTAGCTTTGAACCTGTCCAGGTAAGAGAGCCTACTCTACAATAAAGCACTTAAAATGCAATTATTTTCAAACACATTAAGTCTGATCTGAAACCCCAAAACCCCACAGAATACCACAGTGGCACTGTTGCAAAACCAGTAGATGCTGAAATGTTGGAACCTATAAATACCACCTCTCACAGTGAGGCTAATTTGATTAGTAATGAATGAAACAGGGGTGGTTTTTTTCCCCCCACGGTCTTTTGATTTATTTTTATTTTTTGCCAGGCCCACAAACCTGGGATCTGAAAGCCCCGCTGTTCTTGCTGGCTTTTCCAACAGCACCAATCATGCCGACTCAGGCGAGGCTGCAGAGGTGGTGAGGTGGCACCGGTTGCTGTGTTTTTGAGATAAAACTTCTGCAACTCTATTATTAGTATTTCTGTCAACATATGACAGAAAATTATGTCCGTACTCCTGGGATGAGTCTAGTTTATGCAACAAGAGATCAGAAGCAAGCCCTTAAAAATTTGCCACCAGAGTAAAACATTTTCTAAACAGCCAAAAGGAGTAGGTCTATGAAGCAAATGGTGCCATTTCTACTGAATCACTTTTCTCTAGCAGAAGAGCACCTCAGAGGGGCAAATACTGCACAGCAAGTTTTTTTAAGAACGTAGTTACGGTAACAGAATGACCCTTTTATGATTTTTTTTAAAGTATGGAAAACATTTTAAATTTAAAACAGCCAAGCCATGTTTTCTGGACTAAAGTACCTGACACCAAGAAGGTACGGGACAGAAAAGCCGTGAGCAAACACTGAATATCTGCACAGCGCTATTTTTCAGTCCCTTACCTCTTGAGCCCAGTAATGTGTTTTAAGACACAGACAGGATGGTTATCTGCTCTATTTACCGATACTGCATTGCTGAGGAATTTGCAATTTCTATGTAAATTAGCTTTCCCAGCTCCTAAGATAACTCTTTGCAGAAGCTCCATGCACCAAGTGACTCCACCTGGAACTGCAACCGAACCGAAGCTGAAGCCTCCCAAGCTGCAAACCTGCCGCGCCAGGGCCTCGGAGGTGCGACCCTCCGCTCAACTCAGCCCCCGGCACGGGGAGTCATCCCCTCTCAGCTCACCGCGGCTTTCGGGAGATAAACGGGCTGATGCTATGGAGGTGTGCGAGCGCTGCAGCCGTGGCCATGTAAGCGCTTAGACAGGCAGGCACCGCACAGCACAGGCCAAACCGTCCCTTGACGTACACAGAAACGGCGTGTCAAGCCCCACGTTAACAAGGCAATGCTACTCCTTTATAAGAAGCTGGGGGTTGTGTCAGGTAGGAGAGTAAATAAAATGACAGAGTAAGACATTTTCTCATCAGGTCAATAAACAGCTTATGAACAAATCTTTGTAGCAAGTGGAGCACCCGTTAACTAAAACATGCAGAATATGAGGTTCAAAATGTAGCATGAAAGCACCCAGGAAGTTTACCTGCCTGAGATCTCCCCAACCCCTTCATTTGCCAAATACCTGATTATTCCCCAATACAGAAGCACAGTAGTCCTAAGGCTTTTTACTTCAGAGACAAAGGTGACAAAATTTGGTACTAACATGGGAAATGTTTTCTTCCAGTTCTTCAACTCTTTCCAAGGCTGCATTCTTGGTTTCAGCATCCTCCAGTAAAGCTCCCACATCAAAAACATTATCCAGGTAAGCTTGAATTTGCACCTGCAGTTTGTCGCTCTCTGTGTGTTTCAGTTTCTGCAAATCCAAGAAGACAAAAGAGTGTCACTCAGCACTGGCAGCCCTTCGCAGCAAGAGGGCTGCAGACGGCAAACGGGGTGGGAGAGTGGTGGGAGCTCAGGCCACTTCCATCACCAAAGAAAACACTTTGCATTTTAACGTTAGCTGGGGTCGTAAGCGATAAACAGCCATTTTTGGAGACCAAACATCCAGAGCTTTCAAATAAAGCTAAGCAGCATCTTATCTTCTGTTACTACAGAGGATACTACTGCTTTCCTCTGTGCTTGCTGCTTGACCGTGGCAAGCTCTGAATCCACCCCCCAGTCCTGGGATGGTGCGAGGCCAGCGAGGTGGGTGGGCAGCTGGCGGGGCCGACCCTGTTGCTGCCCACAGTGGCCAGCCGCTCGGTGGCCGGTAGGCAGAAGTGAGGCCATCACTTGTGTTTGGGTTCAAAGCAGCCATGTGGCCTGGAATAAATCCTCTGATTGCTCTCGCTGACCTCGTGCTAGGTTTGCTGTGTTCAAAATGAGCATGCTTTATCTCCAAAGACAACATCAGAGCACGCTTTGAACCTCTGCCTGCTCCCGATGGACTGCAGTGTTTGTGCCACCCTGGGACCCCAAACAGACCATGCTCGGTATCGCCATGTACAAATACTTCTTGCAGACAGCAAAAACCCTCTCTCCTGGTTACTGCTCAGCAGAAGTCAGCAGGGACAAATCAATCCCTCGTCAACACAAGCACTGTTTTCATGTGTGTGCTCCCAAGGGCAGGGACAGGGAGAGAGAGAAAAATACAAAAGGGAAAATATAAAAGCAGCTTTCTTCTGAAAGAGAGCATTTCCCACAGGACACCAGAAAACGCCTGGCTGGCAGGAGAAAACTCAAAGGAGGGTTTTTTCACACGGAGACAGAGGGGGCCCTCGCGGCACCTGAGCCGGGGCTGACACGAGGCCTGCAGCCCGTGGCTGTAGGTCAGGGACGTGGCACGGGCGAGGACGACTGCGGTTCATCCTCCCTTTGTTATAAGGCGAAGCTACAAATTTAGCTCCCAGTCTGTAATTGCAGTTAGTTGCAGTGGATTTTTCTTCTGCAGGGGTGGCTCCAGGCCACAGCCCCCAGTCAGCGGCCAAGGCATTGCATTTTTAGCAGAGACTATGGGACAACCCTGCTCTGCCCTCCCGAAAGCTCTCGGGTGAGGGGGTTGACGGAGGTTTAAGGCTAGGCTGTGCAGCGGCGGCGCTGGGGGACGTGGCACGGACCCTCCACGGCTGCAGGTGGGCCCAGCCCGTACCCCCACGCAGAGGTCAGCCCCGCTGGGAGAGCAGACCCACGCTGCGAGGCGTAGAGACCTGGGTCATACTCACATCCAAATACTCGTCCAGGCCGAGCTTCGTAAACTCATACTGCAGGTGGACTCTGAAGTTCATGTCCTCCACCGAGTGGACAACGATGTTGATGAACTGCATGCAGGCCACCTGCAAGGAGAACCGTTGCACGTGAGAGGAGGCAACGGGGTGGCCCTGGCTGCCCCCCGAAAGCCCCAGGCACAGTCAGAGCGGGCTCTCCCGGGGCCCCACGGGTCAGACACAGCAAATGACCACATTTCCTTGCGGTTACTACGAGGGGAAACTGTGATCCGCTCTTCTGCAGCTTTTTTCCAAGCCAGTGCTGGATTTGGGCTTACAGGGCATTTGTCTGCTGTGACAAAGGCAAACGCGGGTTCCAGAAATTAAGTCATGTCTGCAGAGTCTACCTTTACTGCGTGCTGGTGAACAGAAATGCTTTCCATGCCAGCTCGCACAGCCAGACATCATACAAGCACACAAGCTCTTAAGAAAACAATGGTGTTTCTGAAACGGCCTGTAAAAGTGAGATTAAATTTGCAACTGGAACCCCTAGCTTAGGAAACGGGACTTTCACAAAAGGCGCTTTGTTGTTTGCAGAAAGCATATTTCCAAAGCTGTGGTTTGGTAACTGAACAAGGGACCAGATCATAGGAGCTGGCATTCAAACACATCCCAAACACAGCGAAGGAAAGGAAAAGGCTCTCGAGTGAAGCGGGTCACGAGCGGTATGAGCGGTGGGGGAAACCTCCTGCAGAGCGGCAGGAATCGGGCTACAAACCCCAAAAGGTTTTTGCCCTTTACTTGAATGTAAGGCACGGCCAAATCCTGCTCTGCACAAGTATCCCCAGCCCTCTTTCAGCTCACAAATGATCATGTCTGTCACCCTCTGAGCTGCTTTAAGAGAGGGTTTGCCTAGTCCTTGCTGGGCTTCTCAAGGGTATAACCCTATCCTGCTAGCAACGCTGCAGCAGGGGCAATACCAAGCTTCTCAACATATCTGGGAAGTATCTCAGTAGTTCTAGAACAAATCTGAGAGAAGATAAAATCAAAGCAACCTGATTTTACCTGCAGGACAAGCCTCCAGGAGACCCCACGTCTCTAGGTCATTTTGTGGGAAGAACTGAAGGCCACTCGCTGGGTCACCAGTTTGCTACAGGAAATTGGCCAATTCTCTGTGATCTGCTACGGGCCCCAGAGGATAAACTCATGAGCAGGCATCTGCTGCACGGTGGCCTTCAACGACAGGTCTGGCCGGGATGCCCCAGGCTGCTCCTTCCAGCCGGAGCTCCCAGCAGCCGCTGAGCTGCCATAAAAACTTTCCCAGCTGAACTGCCCGGTGCTGCCCGGCTTTGAAGGAACCGGGACCACAGGGACACAACAAAGGTCAGTCAAAACCTTTCAGCTACATCTTCCAATGTAGACCCTGACCAGCTTTAACCACTCTGTGTCCAAAATTACTTTAACCCTAGATAATGCAAAGTTGTAAGAGTGGTAACAGGGATAACCCCAAGGAAGAGAGGAAGGCAGATGGTCTAAAGACTCATCCAGGAGCTCCTGTGATGCCTCAGCCCCACCTCTTGGTGTGTACCCATCTCTTACACAAACAACCTGATCCAGGCAGTTGGAAACCTAACTTCAGGTTTCGAGTCTTTGCAGGACCCTTTCCAGTTCCTGTGGCAAAGCCTGGTTCCTCCTAGTGCTGGTACTGGCCTTCACCAGCTGAACCCTGCTGTCCTGTCGACTCACCCAGAGCCAAATACCTCTATTTCAAAAGTGCTTTTGTTATACTTGCTTTGGCTCTCGCAACGTTAGGGCCAAATTCTCATTTCCTTTCTCAGATCCTTACATACACAACTGAGGAATTTATCAAGTCAAAGAAAACTAATCTAAGAAAGTTGCTTTTAAAATGAAGTAAGTCAATGTCAACAACAGGAACCTTCTCTAAAATACTTTTGCCTTTCTGTTGCTCTTTCCTCCCTGTCGATCCATGCAATTAACTGCGGCCCCTTCCAGCTACAGCTTCCCAGACAGCTCTCCATTTAGGGCAACGTGAAAGCCAGATCCTGCAGGAATAGTTCTTTGTTTATGTTCAGTCATTGCAACTCCTTGAATTACTCGAGCTTTAACATTATGTCCTGGAGCCTGAGCTCCGGCACCCGTTCTATACCGTCCTGCGGAAAGGAGCGATGTCTGCCCTTGGCACACCCTGGTGCAACCCACAGGCTCCCACAGCGCCGGTACTGCAGCGAGCCGGCGGGCAGGGGCCCGCGGCGCTCCCCGCTCGCCCCCCGAAGCGTGCTCATCAGCTAGTGCTCGCAGCAGCATGCGGAGCTCGTCAGGGCCAAGTGGTGACAAGAACGAGCGGATCTGCCAAATCATTTCTCATGAGCTCTCTCTTCTAGCTTTAGGCTTGTCATATAGTCAAGCCCTTAGTCGGTGGAAGCAGGCCAAAGATGCAGATTTTATTAGTACTTGGGCAAGTCCTGAAAAAAATGTATTTATCCTTTTTCAAGCAAATTTCACCACTACCTTCAACCTATGGCCTGAGAGGAGCAGGGAATTTTCTTACAAGGCCGTCCAGATGGACGCTGAATATTCACAGCTCACCGGGCTTGTACGGACACACACTCACATGCATATTCCCTATTACATCATTACAATACACCATTTCATATCTTAAAGCAAGATGAGGAATGATTTTTATTTTTTTTTTACAACAGTGGACAAATCCCGTAGCTCACAGCATGGTGGCTGGCTGCAGGCTGCTGCCACCGTCTCGCTTCTAGGCTGTACTAAGCTCTGCTACTCTCCTGCTCCCCAAATACGATTACTCTTCCCCGTGAGCATGGGAAAAATGACTAAGAGTCGGGTGTTGAGGACTGACAAATCTTTCTGTTAAATTACAGACTAAACTGTACGTACATCTGAGAATACTTAATGTATACTGTGACTACCAACATGTCCTTAGTAGGACTGCAGTAATAAGGAACAAAACCAACTGTAACATGTCAGAGAGTTACTGAGAGCAGCTTGCCCACTTGAGTAAAATTGCAGGGATCACTAACTTTTTTTTTTTTTTTAAAATACAAGAAAGAGGCCATCCTATCTTGCTCACACCACCTTCTTTTTATTCTGCCATCCCCTCATGGGTGCAAGCCTGGCCCGGCCATCAGGGCTGCAAGCCACTAACACCAGAGCGTTGGAAACACCGCACTGGGTGCTTTAACACCTAATTCCTGGCAGAAAGAGGTCTTTAACACAAAGCTCAGCACTAAAACAGTATAAAGTGTCACAGATGCTTAACAGAGGCCTCAGCAGAACAGCCAGCGTGACCAAGCAGGAAGCCCTCCTGCTCTGCTCTCACCTCAAAACAGGATCACATCAGATCTGAGACACCGGGCATGAGCAGTGCAAGGGAGACTGCACTGACCACGCCAGTACTACATTCGTTTTGTAATTAAAAATCAGGCTTTAATTTCTCACACTTCTGACACAAGCACTCGCTTGCCATAGACTTTAAAGAAATGGATGCAGAAGTATTTTTGATATGGACACGTAACCAGCTAGCTCATCCTTACTGTCACGACCTCTGCCTTTCACGTGCTGCCAGCGTGCAAGCTGGGGCTGGTGTTTGTGGGTGCCAGCCAGAGCTTCCTCTCTTGCCCTTCTCTCTTGTGCTCCAGGGGAAGTGGTTTTGGTGAATAATCATGCATATGCACATGAGGAACCAAAAGTGGTTCAAACTACTGCTATATTTATCAGCAGATAAGGACAGACAGCAGCTGCAGCGAGTCTCTCCCACACTTCCCTGTCTGTGACCCTGAGGATGTTGGCACGGACAGAATACGCATCTTGATATTGCAGAAGCTGCTGCTTTGCCGCAGCGAAATAGCACACACGACCAAAAGGCCACTTTCCTCTTACCTTCACTGTGGTACAAGGCATCTCTTGAAGATAACTGAACTGAAGCTAAAAATGAAACGCACATTATGTAGCTGGGAATATAAAAAAATTGTAATGTGGTAATTTTAGGCCAAGGATCAGAAGGCAGATAAACGTCTGCCTACAACAGCAGGATCAGACGCAGTAAACACTGAAACCAAAGTTTTTTGATGATAAATAGCACTCACCATAAAGTCTATATTGTTGTCTTCATTTCGGAAGTGCTCCATCAGCTTCTCAAAGCGCTGTTTCTCTCCACACACCTACAAAAGAATCACCACGTGTTTGTTAAACTACAGCTTGCAAGAGAGAGTATGAAAAACATTTAAAAAGCAGCTCATCTGCTTGCTCAAAACCTCACTGTCCAGGTTTCCTCTCTTGTTAAACACATTCTTCTTCATGACAAATCCAGCAGAGGAATCACAGGTGAACACCTGTGCTGCAAGTCTAAGGGGTCAGGTACAATTATAACATAACTCTTTGTATCTCTTTTCACCCTAAAAATTTAATCGTACCCACTGATGGTATGAACGTAAGCAACAGAGTTGCGCCAGGCTATGCCACAGGAAGACTCGTCCTCTTTCACAGTGCAGAACTGGCTTTCCACTGTAATATAATGTAATTAGGACGAAGACCAAATTACAGGGAGGAAAAAAAGAAAATTATCACCGGCTAAACGAGGAGTGAAATACATCAGCATAACTATCAGCTGGTCAAAATTACAGAGCCGTAATACAGGGGTGTTGGCAGGAAACACAAGCAACTTGAGGGAGAAATAAGACCAAAGATAAAGCAGGTCTCAGGATATTGTTCAAATCTTATTACTTCCCAGTAGCTTGTCTGGCTCAGTCCTACTTTTCCCAGCACACAAATGATCTAGAGTAATCCACACCAAAATCACAAAATATTAAATAAGTTGGACAGCAAAAGGGAGCAGAGGTGAGCACCGGGAGGTGAACCCATTTCCCCGTCCTCCCTACTTAGCAACTGCAACTCCTCCCTCTGTGGTGTGTCTTTTGGGGTATTTTTTCTATCCCTGCGTGAACGGACTAGACCGAACACCTAAGCCGTAGGGGTAGGAGCCAGTGCATGGCAGCTGCCCCAAGCCCAGACATCCCAGCAAGCCCTACCATCCCAGCACGGTCAGATGGGAGGTGACAGGGGCAGTGCGAAGGGTCCCACATGTTCCCAAATCCACTGGGAGTTTCCTCATACCCTGCACTGTGAGTTGACTTCTTGCTGGATTTTGGCCTCAAACTGAGGAGTGAATGCAGGAAGAGCACAGGCTTCTGAACAAAACCGGTGAGTGCCTGAATAGGCACATCTGTCCACGAACAGTGTTAAATGCTGTTCCCACCTTCACCCTCCTCAGATGCTGGCTGTTTGCAGAGGCACAGGAGAAGCTCTGAAAGAAATTATTTTGCTGGGAAAGGTCTTGAAAAGGTCATCTGGAGGACTGAAACCTCCCATCTGAGGTTTGAGCAACAAAACCCTTGGTGAGCCCAAGAGGCTCCTTCCTTCCTTAACCAGATTTTACCCAAACGTCCCGGGGGCGCTGGGTGCTACTGATCAGGAGCAGTGGGGACAGCAGTGGGACCTCCAACCTGGGCTGTCCGGTTAGGGTCCACCAGCTTCTGAGCGGCACACACCCCTGAGACATCAGCTGCTGTTTCCCTTAAGAGCCAGCTCATGGCACAGCAGTTATGTGAAATTAGCCAACGAACAGTAATTAAGGATTGGTTACCATGTGGTAGCCAGAGCACTGGCTACTTCTTCTTTAGAAACTAACCTCCCTGGGGCAGGGACCGGTTCTTTGTATGTATTTCTATGTTTGTGTCTCCCACAAGGAGACCAAATCCCCGATTCGGGTTTCTAGATAATCCCAAAGAGCAAATTCTTTACACAGCACGCATTATTATCACTACTCCCCTATCAGCTTCCTCTTTCTAACTGTGTCTATCTTACAGCATGTACCTGCACAAAGATTAAGGCACTGAGCAGACCTCACTGAAGTCACACAGAGTTTAGTGAGACCTAAACTGAGCTGATCATGAGATCTGCAAAGCACTGCAAGTAGTGGCCTGCTGGGTGACCTCTCGCCATGCTTTCTGCTGTCTGTTATGACTGAATAAAACATACTTGTGGTGTACATGATACATCTTCTGTCATTCCCAAGCAAAACAGCCACAACTGGGGTTATTATTCAGATATTGTGGTCAGTACCTGACGTCAGTGGGAATTCTGCCACTGGATCTCTGTGAGAGGACAGGGATACTGGTTACCATGAACTATTTGATAACATTACCATCAATACTCATGGCCACAATCCCACAAGTTGCAAGTAATGGGCTCCGTGCAGGCTCAGCAGCCCCCACTCGCACAGCCTCTGGTAGGCAGGGCACTGAAGTCGTGCACAGACACTTACTGAAGTTGCATTTAGATGTTTCCAGCTGAACCTTAAAGACTCACAAGGTAGAATAAACACGCTTAAACAACAAAGCATGCACCCTCATGAAAAACATATTACACTAGTTGGTCAAGCAAATTATCAAGATCTTAAACCCAAAGGACTTGGCGCTCTCTACAGCGTATGCCATGAAAGTGGTTTTGAAGCATTAAACACTTTTACATGGGCTGCTCCACTAGGCCCACAAAACACACATTAAGGTCTAAGATAGAGTAAAACAGAGCCGAGACAGACCCACTCTTGGATGGAGCAAGTCTCCTTGGTGTTGCCTGGCCTGCAGTTGTGCAAGGGGCATGACCTGTCTCTTTGCTTAGCAGAGATGGGGTCCCCTGGGACATGGAAAGGACGGGTGAGTTTGGAGAGCCACTGCCATTCAGCTTCAGGTTGTAAATCTTCAGTCTAATCTCGGGCTTTTCTTCAGGAATAATCCTCATAAAGCCTCCCTACAGCATCAGGAATCGCCTTGCTGGGAGATCAAAGCCCAAACACCGCATACACATTGCTGATGGTTAGAGCAGCTCCAAGGAAAACTGAGGGCAAGCGAGCGAGCCCCTGCCCCAGCCTCCCAGTGCATTTGCTTTGCAGCGGGTGGCTCGAGAGATGGCGTCACTGGTGAAGAGCCTTAGGCTCTGCAAAGCCACCAAATGGCCAAACTCAAATCCAAAATGGCCAGGAGCACCCTTGGGAAAACAGGGAGATCATTGTGAGCATTTTGGCATGACTGTCCTGGTTTCACAAGCACGCATTTAAAAGCGAGAGGTGGGATGAGCACACTCCGGCGGGGACCAGAGCACCTCCGCACCAGATGACAGCACCAGCGCCCGCCGGCATCCCATCCGGCTCCCCCGCTCTCCACGTGCAGGACCAGGAATCGTTTCATCGTGAAGAAGGTCAAGTTCATTGAACATGCAGCAATGTGACCTATTCCGGGCACTCACCATGAACGCCCTACCGGGCACTCTCTTACCAAGGGCCCACCGAAAGCACTCCTGGCAGGGTGCAGCCTGCAGGCATACAGCTCTGCTGTGGCGTACGGCCCTGCCGGGATGCACACACTTGCAGGCAGGAGCAACACGCCCTTCAGGAGGAAAAGAGACGAAACGCTGTGAAGAGGCCGGCCTCCGTCACGAAGAGCCAAAGAGAAAACCAGAATCTGGCCGAGTTTCAGGAACCTACTGCCACTGTAAGGATCAAAGGCAGCAGCTGCCCGCCGATATAATTTGATTTTGGAGGCATACGCTGGGCCTGATCCAGCTCCTGCCCAAAGCAAACCCAAGGAACCCTCTTCTTGACTTGCACCACAGGCTGCTTAGATGCACTCATCCCTACATTATTATCCCAAGCCATTTTTTTCCTACTACAGTAAATGGGATGGTGTATCAGTTCAACCAACTGCAAATTCTTCCAGCGCTCCCCACAAAACAGTTAAGAGTCAACATAACAAAAGAAAAAAAGTAGGTTCTTCTCAACTTTGAGCTCTAAACAATTGCATCCCTCTTGTACCCACTTCAGAAAAAACAGAGCCAATTTAAACAAAATCATGTATTGTGGAAACAAACATAACAATGGCACATACGATCACTCAACAACAAAAGCCAGAAGGACTGGTTTCTGGGAAATCTAATGTAAACCGTTCCACATGGATGAGAAAAGCTGACATAAACAACTACAAGCCATTTATGGCTGACTAATTAAATAAGGAACAACCCAAAGTGATACAGCCCCGGCAGAGAATTGCCGATCCTGGGACACAAGCAGCCCTGGCTGGCTGGGGTACAGCAGCTGATAGCAAGAGGAAAAGCAACAACAACCTGCGGCTTTCGGTGGCTGCTCGCAGATATTTCACGCTATCATCAGATGAGTCAGTGCTGGGAACATGTGCGTTTCAAGAGACAGCAAGCTGACTTTCATGAAATGATATAATTTATCCTAGAAGATTAAAGAGAGTGAAACTATAGATGAAGCCTACAGCCTGAAGATTGGCCAAAATCCAAGACGAATGCTGAAATCAAATCCCACCACATAAAACCATATGTTGCCATTTATATTTGAATAAATTTCCAAGGTCTGTCATTTGAAAGTATGGCTGGGACTAAGAAAGGCTGATCTTTCTTTTATTAGCATTATTCTGTGTAAGAAGCAAGATTAAACGGGTTACCACAGCTATAAAAAACCTCTGTCTCTACTTAGGCTGTGAAAAAAAGACTTTTTAGGTTGCATTAAGCCCACGTCATTCTAGAAGAACAATGTGGCTTTATGGAAAACCACCCACGAAGGGTCCTTTCTCTGGAAAGGCTTTGGGTGCTAATGAAGTAAACCCGTCACGGATCTATTACAAAGGTACAATACAATCCTATGAGGAAGCAAAAGGATCTGTTATGAAAAATTTAGTGACGATTATATCCATATCCACCTGGCAATGCTCTCAGGTCATACAGTTCACATCCAGACCACCCAAGAGCAAAGTTCAACTACAACAACCCTCGCGTTGCTCCTGCTCACGTGGCCGGATTACTACATGATGCTCCAGAAAGGCATCCCGGGCAGACAGCAAAAGACACCAAGGGTATTTTGGAAAAACTGAAGATGTTTTCATGTGCAATGTCAGGCAGAAAGTGAAAATCCAGGCTCATCGAAGCACGTCCATCGTCTTCCTACCTCAGACAGTTATCTAACGACATGAAGCACCACCTCATTTTGTTGGAGAATGGAGCTGGTAACTAATCCTCACCACAAGCAAATATAGCATGCTCCATATGGAGAAGGCAGCGAACACAGGCAGTATTTCAGGCTTCG